GTCTTGCAATAAACTTTGAGAAACAGATTTGATATTTACTCTAAAAGATATTACTTTACATATTCCTTCACCAATGCAATGGAATACTAGACATATTTAAGGTCCTTATCTGCAGAGATAATTTCCTAAAACATCACTATGAGAAAAATGTAGACATCCATGGAGAAACAAAAGCAAAGGTGCACATACCTCTCTAGGTGGCAGGTAATATTGTATACTTCAATTTTTGTACTTTTATCATTCCCACCTCAGTAGAGAGCCGCTGCTGAGCTGTGCTCTTCCTTCCATTACAGCACACGTGCACCCCCATGCACAGACACACAGAGCTTACAGTCACACAAGTATGGTCAGCCTCATACTGCCTGTGATTTGCCACTTGCCTTTCCACCTCAATTCATTTTCAAACTAACAACCAACCATTTCACCACCGAAAGTCTCTAGACCCCCACAGGTGATTTTTTTTTCTTTTGATGTGTTGACTTCATATAGAAAAAGAACCACTAAAGAAAACACACAGATCAAGAGAACAAGCTAGAAGAGATGCTCAGGGACCAATCACACTGTCCCTTCCCCGAGGATTTTGGAGGAAACCAAACAGAGCTATGAATTATTTCTTCCAACAAATTAGTCCATGAATTATTTCTTCCAACAAATTAGTCCAATTTCAGACTTCTATTTAATTTCTATGTAGTCACCATCTTAAAATTAAGCATAACATATATTCATGTAGGTTTACATTATTTTTCCCTCCTAAAACAACAACTTCTGCTAGGAGCAATCTTCAAGGATTCCTCAAAGGATTGTAGTCTATTTACAATCATCTCGTTTTGCTATTCTTAAAAAATGTTCTCTGAAAATAGCAGTCAATTTATAGCAATCCCTTTTTCTATGCAGACATAATACAAAAGTTCTTGATATTTTCCAGCCAAGTCTCTTTACAGTCTGACTTGGGAGTGGTAGTAGGATGAGAGCCAAGGAATTTCCAGAAATCTTAAAAGTGCTAGTAAGTCTGTAAGTAAGTGCTAGTAAGCAGCACCATGAATATTTGGTTGCTGAAAGTTGCAAGTAGGACCATTCTGCCCTGGATTGGCAGATACTATCCATGCACCCCAGAAAAAGTGAAGGCTTCTCATTTCTTTATGCAGAAGGTAAAGAAGAAGAAAGGCAGCCATTTGCTAATTAGGAACAAGCATAACCTTTTGGCGTGCTTTGACTCCAAAACATTCTCGTTTTGAGACTGTTTTAGCTTCCACCTAAATCCATCATTCTGGGTTTCGGTTACATTTGTTTTACAGTTTAAAGATTATAGCTTTGTTAGTGTGAAAACATTCTTTAGAAATGTTTGTAAATCATACAGTAAAAAAAATCTGGAGACAGTTTTGTGAAAAATGATTCCTTCCAAAAGAAGATTTCATGGACTACCAGGAACATGAAGCCTTAACAAGTGCAAAACTTCACTAGTCAGTTACCACAAAAGCTCTAATCATTTATACTGAGAAATGCACAGACACTGTAGATTCTTTCAGTGGGATTTCCTGGATGCCAAAATGGCCAGACCAGATGCTTCAAAATCATTAAAAAAAAAATCATTTTTGGTTTGCAATAACTCATTGCTCTATTAGGTTTCCTCCAAAATCCTCAGTCAAAGCGTGTGATCCCCGAATGTCTCTCCTAAAGTGGTCCTTTGATTGATGAATGTTTTTAGTGGTCCCTTTTGGTTATAAATTCTACACTATTAAAAGGAAAACAAACAAACAAAATACCTTCATATAACCATAACTCAGGTGAAAACATGGGTATTTATAGTAAGGCTTGGCCCAGCACAGCACAGTATGACAAAAAGCAGATTTATACAAGAAAACACAAGACAGTCCTCAACAACAGAAACAAAGCAACTGCTCTTCCTTTGGATGGGAAAAATCCATTACTTCTGTGTGGCATGCTAAAAAGGATGACTAGAAGGCTATCTTTTTGCCTGACTACACAGGAAAAAAGATGCAGTCATTTTGGTAGAGATCATTTAGAGTTTCAAGTAATGCTCATGAACAACTAGGTCCTTTGAAGGATCTCTCTGAGGTGCTTCAGAGAGCAGCCTTGCACTGTTGTCAGCCCCAAGCACTGCCACAGTTGAGATGACAGATACTTTTGTATTTCGTATTCTACTTTCCCGTTTGGGTCTTTCACAGAGATCCTTCTGTGACTGGTTCTCTCTTGTCAGCAGCAGGAGGAATCAGCATCAGGAAAGAAATGAAAACCATTTTTTTTCTTGGTAGTGAGCCATCTTCGACCTCAAGAATTCATAGTTCAGTTGAAGACCCACACACTCACTTCATATCTACCTCCTGAAGATGGGGAGGGTTTCCATCTCTTAGTCTCAAGGACGTATCTCTACACATCTATCAAATCATCACAATAGATGCAGTTAGGAGATGCAGGAGTTCAGTCCTGCCATCTTATTGTCCAGTCGCATGAGGTAATTTCAGTATGGTGACCATGCTATTCAAAGAGACAGCAGCACTCTTGCATAAAAGCAGTGTCTATATACTCCTACCAGGATTAGTGGCTAACAGAGGAGGTATTTTCTGGTGCAGGTGTATTAGAAGACTTTACAAACTCACCTGGGCTCCAAAAGTCACACCTCACCTTCTTTTATCAGGCTGTCAGTGCGTTCAAGTAGGCTATCACCTACTTACTGACAGATTTCAGACCCTACTCAACTTGAGCTTGCAAGAGGAAAAAAAAAAAGAGGCAAGAAAAAAAATCTCCATTACTAATCTCTATTAATAACCTAGATGATGGGCCAGAGTGCTGCCTCAGGAAGTTTGAAGATGATAGAAGATTGGGAGAAGTGGTTGATTTGACATATGGTTGTGCTGCTTTTCAGAGCAACCTCAACAGGCTGGAGAAACGTGCCAAGAGAAACCGCACTAAGTCCAACTAGAAGTGCAGAGTAGTCCTGCACCTGGGGACAAATAATGTCATAAACAGCACAGACTGAGGGCCAAATTAGCTGGAAAGCAGCTTTGTAGAAAAGGACCCAAAGGGAACGGTGGACAAGTTGGACAGGAACCAACTTTGGACACTTGTGGCCAAGAAGGCTAAGAGCCTCCTGGGCTGCATGAGGAAGCCATTGGACAGCTGGTCAAGAGAGAGCTCTGCTCAGCACTGGTGAGACCACCGTTGCAGTGCTGGGCTCCCCAGTACAAAAGTGGCAGGGACTTACTGGAGTGAACCCAACCAAGGGCCACAGAGACGATTAAGGGACTGCAGCATCTACTTGGAAGCAAGGCTGAGAAAGCTGGGACTGTGGGAGCTGGGAATTGGGAGTTAATTCAGGCTGCTCACCTGTATGCTCTGCCTCCCTCCTCCTCTGCTCTAGACCCTTGCACACTCCTTATTTTATAGGTAAAACTGGTGGGGCATAGCCTTCATCCCATTAATGAAGAGTGAGGAGTCTGCAAGACAAATAAACTCAACAGTTTAATTAGTGGTCCAGCTTTATTACCAGCAAACAGTGCAATGTACATACAGAGAGCCACTATTAACATGGTCATTTTACTCAATAGTTTCTTGTTCTTCAGTAAAAAAATAGTTCTGTGTAAACTTTTATCAGCTGACAAACCTCACTAATTGCATAGACAAGGGAAATGAAGGTCGTCTCCAGACCAGCTTGGAAGATGTGCACACCCTTTTCTCCATCCTATCCTTCCATTTGTTTGCACAATAAGGAATTCTGAATAGTCTTAGTTTTCAGGTATTACCAGTTAAGTACTGTGACAAGAGAGGGGATTAAGCAGCAGATGCTTAAATGACATACATTTAAAGTATAATCTTCCTTTTTCTTGCTTTGGGTTTACCAATGTCAAGTCAGGCTTTTTGCTTTCCAAGTAAGTGGCCATTGTCAAAGAGGGGGAGGCCTCCTCAGCACTTGTCCAAAATAAGTGAATAGTTGTAAAAGGAAGGTAAAATCAACTTCTGTAGATCCAAGGCAATCCCCTCAAATCAGAGGAATGTAATATAACCCTAAGTCAAACTGTAGTTGTCTGTAGTTATCTCATTCATGTCATGTCTGTCGGCATTGTTCCTTGCTGGAACAATTTTGGAAGAAGTTATGATTATGCTATATAATATCTTTGCTTTCAGTAGCTCGTTGTCTTATCTGGGCTGTCCAACAGCCCACCTGTAAGTGGTGTAATTTGCTTAGGAGTGGAGAATTTAAATTTGTTCTTAGAATATTGCACTTAAAAGATACGAAGACACTGTCTTACTCTACAGACGCAGACATAGCATTTGCTTTAAAAATAAATTAGACAAAAAGTACATTACTAGCATAAATGCATCATTTACATTCATTGTTTCCCCAAACATTCAGTCATCTTGAGTCCTGAGACACCCTAAAAATTCAATCCATTAATGGTTATGCACCAATGCAGCAATTGTTTTCATTTCAAAGCATCCAAAGGAAATGGTTATTTCAAATGGCTCATTTCAAAGCAAAAAATGGATATTTTTTGCAACTGAATTCTAGAATCTGTTGTTGCAGGAACCTCTTGAACTCCTCAGTTCACTGCGGAACTCTAACAGCAGCCCCTTGTGCTCCTGTGAGCTGCCCTGGCAGATCAGACCCGCGAGGGCTTTGCTGAAGCCCTGACAACTGCCCGGAGCTTCTTGGCCCAAACTCCCCACAAAACTGCCCATTGTTAGTTTATGATGCAGATGCTTAAAGTTATTATAGCAAACATCATCAAGGCAACTCATTTCAATTCATTTTCCCCCTCACAATGAGGTAAAAATAAATCATTTCACTGGATTAAGTGTATATATATTATATAAAAGCTTGTGTCAAAGCTGTTAAGAGCTAACTGAAAAGGCAATTTTCTTAAAAACCATTACTAATAAAGTGAGGCACCTTAAGTCCATAGCTTTAAGCAAGCAAACCTTTCCCACCACCAGCCCTTAATACAGTTCCCTTTAGAGCTGCTGCTATTTGATTCTTGCACTATTTTCAGTCCTTCTTTGCTCGACCTCTGAAGTTATCCATGAAGTGGAGAGCTCCAACAAAGTCTCCAAGGAGAACACTCACTTTCACAGGTAGCACACTGAGGTAAGAGAGTGGGAGACAAAGGAGGAGAGGAAAAGAAAACACAAAAACAAACATCAGACATGTTGTGCAGTTTTATCACAGAAATCATTCTATCTGGCCAACAGTTAAGTGTATGCACCCTTAATGCTAGAATACCATTGGGTGTCTCAGAGTATCTGTTACATTCATTTTGCAGTTAGATAGTTGTTAGATAGATAGTTCCCCAACCTGCCTTGCACCAGAGTCAGAAGTGCCCTGAGGATGGGGCAAGAGAGACTTGCAGATCTGCAGTTAGTGTGGAGTAGACCCAAGCAGCAGAGCCCACAGCAAAACTGCACCCAGATGAAGTCAGAATGCCATGGGGAGTCATTTCTGCCACTGCTCTGTGGTCTAAGGAGAGATGGAACCCCTAGAAATTAAGAAGAAAACTCTAGGAGCATGCAGAACTTTAAAAAAAAAAAAAGAGTCATACTGGTCATACTGTCAAGTATAGCATACATACATTTTTGGTCAGACAGGTAGCTGAAAGATTGTTTGAAAGAAAGCAGAAGAAAAGAGGAAAGAGAATTAAAAAGGAGAGTAAAAGGAAGAATCACAGAATCTTACTTTTTCAATGCGAAAAAGAAATACAGACTGCGTGGCAGTATCAGAATTTCTTGGTTCTGTCGAATAGCAGTGATGATCTTTTCAGTTACATGCTCTGGTTCAAGAATGGGGAGTATACGTGGCCACCTGGAAAAGCAGGAATTTGCAAACACAATACAAGTTATTCTGAATTCAAATTTTAAATTTAATAAGAGTCTCAAATTTGCCGATATTTGATTAAAAGAAGAAATAAATCCTATGAAGTGAAGGACCTTCACTACATTAGCATGAAGAGAATAACAGGCCACTGTTACTTTCACTCTGCATCACATCCCACAAGGCAAACCCACACAGTCCTCCTATTAAGACACACTAGGCTTTTATTTTGCTCCTCATTTGTGATTACATAAGAATCCAGAGCAGAGCTGTGCTACTGACTTCAGGATCTGAATGGGGGTTTACAAAACCAGAAGGATAACTGGAGCAAAGGACTGTGGGGAAGGACTCTGATTATGTGTTTTATGTTTCAATTTAAATGAATTGCCAGGAACCACTTGACATTTCAGTTGCTCTGTCATTGTACAGCAGAGTTAACATCTATGTGAGACCCTAAAAATCATGCAAGCAGAGCAAAGTCTAGTCTACAAGTCAAAGGAAATATGAGCATATAGCATGCTAAACATGCAGGCTGCATAAAAAGCTAACAGAAGCTCACTCACTTGGTTTGACAGCCATCAAACATTCCTGTGTTTATGAAGTAGGGACACACAATTGTGGTTTTAATACCAGTCTTGCCCAGATCTCTCATCTCTAAACCAATCGACTCTGCAAACCCAACTGCTGCAAATTTACTTGCACAGTAATCTGTAAAACAAGTAAAACATTAATTGCAGTTAAACATTTTCATTTGCCAATTAGTAAGTTTATTAACCAGCTTCTGTGGTGGAAGAACTTCACAGGAACAGTAACAGCTTTTGCAATAGAAAAGCACAAAACTATGATCTAATGAAGAGTAAACTGAGCAACCACAGCAGTGATACACAACAGCAGCACCATGACATACAAGTGATCTACTATTACCAGACCGTTTTGTGCATGTCCTAAGTACTTTACAACAGAGCAAAGACCATTTCATTGATTAGAGTATTGCTCACACTTGGTGTGGTTTGCTTTTTTACTTTCCCTCCCAAGTTAATTGTTGTTACAAACTGGCAGACAAAGAGTTTCTCTTCACATCCTTCCTAGCACCTTTCCATACTCTACTGAACAACAGGAGGTGAAATTTGCCGTATTGGACCTTACCTTTGAATCTGTGCACTAGCGTTTTAGTTCCTGCATCAAACTTGAGCTTTCCAGGCTCTCTGCAACCTAGTTTCAACTTGCAGCTTCATTTGTCTTCATTATCATGGCCCTGAAGATAATGTAGCTGGATTTCTTTCCCTGCTACGCTACCTTATTTCATATTGCTCCTCCTTTGCACACATTTTCCTGTAATTTCTTTTCAGCTTGTCCTAATCACAATGCTTTCTTTTCTGTCACTGCACAGATTCTGCTGAATGCACTTCCAAGAGCCAGAGGATGCAAAATAAGCTGTCTCACATCTGCTACTGCACGACGTCTAGCTTGGAGTATTTATTTCAGTTAGGGAAGCTTGTATAGAACTTCACTTAAATTGAGAACACGGTTGCAAAAAAAGCCATCTCTTCCCATCAATACCTGCAGGTTAACTTTACCGTATTTAGGTTTTCAGTTTCTTAAGGCCTATATGAAGCTTCTAGATCCTCTAACTACCTTAGCAGAAAAGCACTACTTTTCTCTTACTTCACAGTAATGCCGAGCATCAGAATTCATCTTTTGAAAAGAACATCTCTTTACATTAAGCGGTCTGAAAGCATGAGCGTTAGCTAACCATGCAAGATCCAGAAAGCCCGGCCTGGCGGGAGGCAGCGGCCGTAGGCGAGCGCAGCTCACGGCGGTTAAGCCAGGCACATTTTCTGAGAAGGTCCTGGTTTCATTGCACTAACCTGCAAGCCGATTGACCCCGATGAGCCCTGCTGAGCTGGCGATGCTGACCAAGTGCCCATGGTTGGAGGCCATCATGGCAGGGAGGAAGGCTTTGTAAGTCTGCAGTGCAAGTCAGAACGCATTATTTTTTACTCAAAAAGCAACAAGTTCAAATAGTTTAATGATAGGAATCCTGATTGCAATTTCAGATTATTTTGTTCCTACCATGAAAGAGAAAAAAAATGGAGTTTGTTGTTTCAACTCTGCCATCTGCTAAGCTGGGACTTTCAAGGTCCAACCAATACCACTTTATCCTTATCACCTAGACAGATATAGCTTTAGCTGGTTGTCACATTTTTGAGCTTTGGAGAGAAAGAAATTTAATTTTTCAAATGGGAGTTAAATAGCAAAGAGAAAAATCTGAATTTCCTCTCTTTCTCCTAATAATTTAAGTCCTGATTAAATTTCTTTATCAACTTGAAACATGTTTTAATATCTCCCTTGCAGCTCTTTATAATAAGAAGCTAAGTGATCCACCTTCTCTGAAGGAAGGAAAAAGCACATTAGGTAACCACATTATTATGGACCAAATCCCACTTAATTAGTTTAAGAGCATTGTCTGAACATGCAGTATTTCTAATAGAAAATATCACAACCACAAAGTAACTAAAACAAAGACAGGATTGACACGTCTCTTACTAGAGTAGCAACTTCTAAGCTGGGCCTGCGTGACACTAATACCAGGGGACCTAGGGCACTAACTACAGGACTTAACAGAATATAAAATTCTATTCTCAAAAGCAGTCGCTTCCACCTACCTGCTACACAGAAGTTCCCAAGGGATCCATCCTTCAACCCTTTATTTCAGGGGCTCGCAGGCATGGAAAATAGTTTCTTGTATCATTTTTGTTTGAGCTTATAGGGAGCTATATACCCTTCCATATTTTCCTCAATTCTAAAGGGCAAAATTAACCCTGAAAGCATGTTAAAAGGGTCCATAACAAGTAAGTATGTGTAAGTACAGGTATTACCCAAAAGTGTGCCAGTATGTTCACCTCCATGGTTTTTTCCATAAGGGAATCTGGGCAATCAATAAACCTCTTTCCAGTCACAATGCCGGCGTTGTTGATTAGGATGCTAACATCACCAACTTCTTTTTTAACCTAAAACAGAAAGCCACAAATTGTCATGCAGGTATATACACTATAATACAGTATACACTTTCCAAGTTCTTCTTATAAAAATAAAAGAAATATAAATATAAAAATAAAAAAATCAATTAAGCTAAACTTTTATTGGGCTTGTTATGGATCCAGATAACTCTGGTTCTCCCACATTTGCTCCTGCTGCCTGTTTAGAGCTGAGCTGGGACCTGCACATTTTGGGGATGTGGAGCCCAACAGTTCCACAGCCCCATGCAGACGTCTGGTTTCTCCACCGCTGGTTCTTTTTATGACTGTTCCATGTGAGTCTCTGCTGCAGCAAGCTTGTCTAATGCAAGAAGTATTTTGCTACAGTAGAACCCTTCTAAAACCAGGCAGCCATTCTGTTCTTAGGATTATTGCTATGTCGTGCCATGAAGCACAGTGCAGAGAGGCTCAAGCTCCTTACAGCAGGAGCATGGACCTCGACCCTCTGCAAGGGCTGCAGTATTTAGCTGCATTACACTCAAACCCTTTTCCTTTCACCTTTTCCACCCAGTTCCTCGGGTCAAAACGCAATGCAACTGTGTGACTTTGGGACGCAGGCGGCTCACCCAGCACTTGAGCCTTCTGCTGGGAATGGAGTCTCCTGCATTTCCTGGTAGGGGCTGGACTGCTTGTGTCCCAAGAGCCCAGGAAACCATCTCTCCCGCTGCAGAGGGCAGCAGCTACTTAATGGCATCTTAACAGTTCAAGTACCTCTTCGTGCTATTTTCCCATATGTTCTGATTCCCATGACTACAGTCTTTAAACACTAAGATGTTATTACACCATGCTCCTTCACAATATCTTCTTGCAATTCCTTTCTTTACTCAGGTGTTTTGATAACTGCAAGCAGCTTTGCAGGTCAGTAACTTCTAAAAGGTTCTCTTCCCCAGTCACAGTTTCTATACAAGCTTACTTTTGATTAAGAGCCCTTGGAAGAACACCACGGTTCCTTTTATATCAGCTCTCAGGACAACACAGGAAGTGAGAAAATGATCTGAAGTTCAGGATTTTTTTTAAAAAAAAACAAAAGTTAACAAGAGCTTTGTGTTTCTGAATAAAAGATTTTGTTCATGTGCTTACAGAGAGCACATGGCAGATCTTAAAATGACACATGCATTGACAAAAGGCAGAAATTTTATGAGGCTTCTGGAGCAGGGAATGCTGGTGAGTTTTTCCCCTCTGGTGGGTTTGCTCTGATTCTCACCCCATTCCAGAACCTTTAAGATGGTTCCCAGAGCTGAAGTTAGCTAAAGAAGGGTCTGGATGCACTCAGTTCTGTGAGAGGAAACACAGTTTCCATTTCAGCTCCAGAACGAGGACTTTGTGCCGGCTCACTTGAGAGGATAACTCTAAGCCATGTAACACAATCAAGCTTTCATGGAAGAGAAATGAACATTTTTAATACAGCATTTTAAGTGCAGATCATTAGTTTAAGCTATTCTGGAAAAAGAAAGTAACTTCCCTATTGCTGTTTTATCTGCAACTTCCAGATCAAGTGTGACCAGCACACGTGCTTAGCAAAAAAAACATCTTCCCCCCGCGCCACCGAGCTGCAACCACAGAAACGCCTTTCCTAACGGCATCTCCTAAAGCGACTGCAGGAAACGCGGGCAGAACTGGCAGCAAAGCCTTTGTAACAGTAAAGAATTGAAGAGATTCATCACAAATCTCTAGCTTAAACTTATTTTTCTTAAACTTGTCTTAAATCTCATCTACGTTCATTAGCTAGCTAGCCACTTAAAAAAAATGCAAAGCAGCCTTGGTAGGCTTATTCAGAATCACTTTTGTAATGATTACAGGAGCCAGATGTGTCTCTGGTCACTGTTTCTATAGATGCTTTTCCTTCTATTTCCCCTCTCCAGAAGTTATGATGTAACAAGTTAAGTATTTCTGAAGTAGCACTGTAAGATCTCTACAGGCTGCCTTAAACAAGTTGCTCCGATCTCCACCAGAGCTTGAAATGCATCACGTGTTCAAAAGAGCACCAGCTCAGAGACACACACGTAATCGTTAGTAAAAGGTGCACTAGTATTGCCTCATGCCAGATGATTTAGTCGTCCCAGAAGCCTGGACCTGTATCCCCGACTTTCCTTTTGGGGCAAATACCTGTTTACGCAGGTGCCTCTTTATGCTCCCTTGTGCCCACAGCAGGGACAGAGGTGGCACTATGGGGTGCACACAGCTTGTAACTAACTTGGTTGTTGGGATATGGGTTAGAAGGAGGAGATGAAAACACCAACAGGAGAAATAAGGGCAAAACCTTGACCACCCCAGTTCTGACCAGTAACAAAAACACAAGTGACTTCTTTGCTTCCCTGTGTTTAAGAGACAGCTGTTCCTACCCAGCTTCCCAAAGGAATACTCACACCTCGGACAGAATTCAAAACAGATGCAAGTGCCTTCTTAAAACCCAGACAGCACCTCGGGCTTTATGCCACTTCATGCTGCTTTCCAGCAAAGTGGAGGAGGCAGCTCCTTGCCGAGCAAGGCGACCGTTTTAACTCCTTCCTTCTCCTCCCTGCTTGTGGGCAAGGCAGAGAGCTAAGAAGCGAGCTCGGGCTCCCACATCCCATCTGGAGCCAAGCACAGGAATCCTTCGCAAAGTCTCTTCCCCAGCCAGTAAGCTGTTTTAGTCAGCAGATAATGCTGACCTTGCAGAACTTTACACCTCCCCATTGCACAGTGCGAGAAAAGGTGTTCCAGGTGTGTTCACAGTGTTCACTCTACACAGGCCTAAAACAAAGAGCTGATCCTGTCAAGTGTCTTCTCTAAGCACGAGTACTGTTTCCTGCTTGTTTTCACATTTGTATTTATGCTTTGTCAATGCATGCTTGCTATAGCGAGAAATTCCCGTGATCCCCAGAGAGCATCCCGAGGTGTCTACTTCCAAAGAACCAGGATACTGCTTCCCTCCCTTCCCCTTACGGAGCCACCTGGAAGGGGTAGGAACAAGCGCTGGCTGAAATATCACTGGGAAATGCATTTCTGGTGTGCAGAGGGGCAAAAGTAAAGACAGGACACAGAAAAGTGGAAAATTGGCTGCAAACTGACATCCTGAATAACAGCAAGAGCAGCGTGTAAGCAAAGCAGCAATGTGCAAGGGAGACCCTGGAAGTGAATGTAAACCCAGAGGTAATTCTGCAGCTCGGTAATGAGGAAAAGGCTTCTGTTCCCTCGCAAAGAGGAGATTAAAAATCCTCCTTCAGAGGCCTGGAGCTCTCCCGGGCAGCGCGGGGGCTGCATTCCTTCCACGGGTGGGGTGCTCCTGGAAGGGGGACATCACAAATAAGCTTTAAGGTACAGCTCTTACCAGCCACAAGCTTTCCTTCATGCTGCGGGTGCGGCGAAGGAACAAGGACACCACATGGCCAGAGCTTTGGGATTTTCTTCTTACTCACATATCTGTTTTTCTAGTCCCCAAGGCCTAAGGGATCACATCCTCTGTGCAGCTGCTGAAGTACCAAGGTGGGTATTTCTAAGCCCACGTTCATTTCATTTGGGCTTTAGGACTCTTCGCCTGGGCACAAAGTTTTCAGCAATATCTTGTCCTGCCTGTGTGAGTTTAGCTCACTACAGTCTCACAGAACTCAGTCACTGTGCACAGCTGAATCACAAGGGAACCCTCAGACCCAGCCTGCTCTGGGTCTGCTCGACCTTGCAAAGGCTGGCTCAGCGCACAAGGCACCGAATGCTGCTACTCCCTACAGGAGCAGTGGCAGTGCCACCAAGCATCAGCTAACACTAAGGTCTTACTAGCTACATGAGGAAGCTGTCAGCTGGCTCTGCATCAGTTGTCAGCAGGACACGGTTCTGAAACAGTAGTCAGCCATTTTCTTCTACATAGATCAGCCAAAAATGAGTTATTTGTGGAGTTTCCCAGTGACTGGTGACAGAATTAATTCAAGTCAGGAATCCTGCAATAGCCAGTTAGAGATTTCTCACCACTTCCTCACTCCCATCACCCTCCTGTTTTTGTCACGCCTAGCCCTATGCACATGCATATCCACGTGCTCTCCTCTCTTTTATGTTTGTCCAAATAAAGTTGCGCTCTCCACCTTCTCCATGAGACCCAAGCACCAGTTCTTGAGTCCTCAAAAGTGAAGGTTTCATCTTCTTGAGCCCTTCACACTGCATTTCTCCAGCTCAGCAGG